CTAGAACCTGGAAAAGAACACCTACAGCTGTCTGAAGCGTAATGCGTCTTCAAAGTCTTTAGTGTCGTATGTGAGCAACGGTGATTGTCCTGAAGCATTTTTAATGGGAATATGGATAACGCAGGTAGATATCGCCCCTGATTAACCAAAATGTTATAGGTATTTACCTGTCCCACAGGCACCAAGAAAATACACGATAACAAGAAGTAAATCAAAAGACATACGCTACAGGATTTGAAAAGATATAATTAACGGACTGTTCAATACCCAATATCTGGAAACGAAACCAGTTTCAGTTTCAATGTGATACCCATACACGGAGTATTACCAGATATATTTGGGTAAAATTAAACGATGTAGACAAGGAAGTGCTTGCTTGTTCAAAGTTTCATATTATAGGTGATCATTAGGCATTGACATCGACTTAACATGCAGAAAAATACTTAAAAGGTCATCTGCTGCCATGGTTAAGAGATGAGATTTAGAACTGAGTGCTAAGACTATACGACTGGAAACACACGGGTTTAATGCATTACTCACGTGGATATCCCGTTCCGTTATTTACCATCTGAGAGTTGCCCTAGTGATACTGACTAGTTTTATAATAATGTACCTTTACAAATTTATCAATAAAATCATTTTCGATCAGTTTTGCGTAAAATCGACAATTCTTCCTCAATTGTATCTCCTGAACATTTGACCTTTATTCTATAACTTTGAGTCTTTATAAAATTTCCTTCGTACTGAAGGGGAACAGAACTAAGAAAAAATGTCCATTGTCCGGTCTATGCACTTTTCCTGAACAACCTCCTCTTTATCAACCCATCCTTTCATCTTGAAAGAATACTAAGGAAAGCTATTTCACCTTCTTAATATTCCTCATGTTAATTTCTTCACTGGATGTATTGCATTGAGTCCGTCAAGTACATTTGACTTGTCCATGTTATTTTCACACAGGATGAACGCGACATCCATAAGTCGACGATAAAATGAAAATACTGTGACATTATATATAGTAATGACGGCATAATACAAGCAATTACATTAAAACTGGGACAGATTGATCGAGCAAACTATTCAGTAGTTTAGACAGAAAAATGTCCGCTGGTGTGGATCCGGTGGCGAGCCCATTGCGACTTCATCTACCTGTCTGTACACATTATCGTTAAATTTAATGGTTGGCATTCGTAATGCATTCAAGGAACAATTCTTCGAGGAAATCTACCGAGATTCCAACATGTATAGACTTAATATTTAAAGCCATAAAACAGACCAAACTGTATCACAACTAAGGAAAGAAGAATACTTTAATCACTGTGTAGGTGTGATAAGAAAACGTGCAGACAAACAAGATCGAAACATTAGCAGAATATCTGTGTTCTATTTTGACATTGATATGCGAACAAAACAAGAGTGAGACAGGAAAAGATATGCACTTTTAAATCCACAAATTGTTGAAGTAGAGTTCCAGAGCTGAAGTAAAAATAGTTTCCACCTGTCATGAGATTGATAAAAAAACAATAATTTGAGGATTTTCAGTTTCGCTGAGTACTGATAGAAATGGGATGTTCATACTTACCAACCTAGTGTTGAATGTATTGGTGAGTTACTATTAAGAATATGTAATAATTTACGGATTGGTTTTACTTCTAGCTCATTACAAAAATACATGGACATTCTTAGCCGTGCCCAGATATTTCCTGGAGTATGCAGAAATATCATCTAACATTTCTAATGGTTCTGTCATATTTGACCGCAGAACAGACAACAAAAGTTGTAAACTCCTCTAGTTATATTTGAAATTGTTGTCTTTAAAAATAAACTGTCTCTACACTTGCATGCACTTCGATTAGGTAAAAGAAGAAAAGTAGAGGTTATAGTGGTTTGGAGTTATTTGAGCTTTGATATTTTGTCGTGAGTGTTTCATCACCAGGCTTGATTATCTTTAAGGTAAAAAACAAACGACAAAACATTAAAGCCCAAGGAACACCAAACCATTGTCATCCTTATTCTAAGCTAAAAATCTTTCCCAAAGTTTCAGAAATAAATATTAGATTTCAGTTTTCAGTGTTGCATCTTATTCACCAGCAAAAAATCTAGTCTGTCTGGTTCATTTGAAACGTTTTTAAGGGAAGCTGAATACTTAATTGGAGCTGAAAGATTTTTAAAAAATTTAAAAACACATACGAGTTTTTATTGTTGTGAAGTCGCTTTTTTTTCTGAATTGAAGAAATGGCAGTATTAATAAACACGAAAAGCTGGATCATTTTTCAAATAAACCTAAATTTGAATCTCAGAGGTGGTATATTATACGCTTGTCACTACTGTCTGTGGAAAAATGAAATTTCTCAGTAAATAAACTAATCTTTCAATAAATACACGTGTTAATAATGCGCAGTAGTGATTGAAGATACGACGAAAACCTCAGTCACTTCAGAATTCGAACCAGCAACCTTAAGGTTACCGGTCTGGTGCTCTGTCGACTGTAATACAAGATCTAGCTACCTACCAGGTCATAATTCTACCTCAATCGAGGGGGTTCTACCTAACTGTTGTATGTCATAGACTTTTGAATTCAATTTTTCCTCAAAACCTCCATACCGAATAACATCGGATCGTTATGGCTATCAGTACGCCACATATGATAATAGCTTCCTCTTTCTTTCTTCTAATTAGTTTAAAATAAAGTTGCCTAGATTTAAAGTTCTTGGTAGAAAGAAACTGACAAGTGGAATACCTTTAGGAGATTTCTCAATTACCATTGCTAAGCAGGTTAAAACTAAAAGTTGGTTTCCTTGAATATATGAATGATAGGTAGTAAACTCGATAAGTATGCAAACTAATCACTTTCTTGTTATCCGAAATTTCACTCTAATTCTCAGTTCAGTTCCAATTTCCAGACCAGTCGTTGTCCAACTGAAACCTGGTGAATAGGTCCAGTTGTTGAGGAGGAAACATCCAAGCAACGTATCCACATGAAAACTGATACTTCTACCACAGCATTTTTCTTAACACCCCTACAAACGGACCACTGTTATCCCAGAACCCTACCAACTACAAGGCTCTAATCTATCCACCTTAACCGGGTAATCTGTTCTTTGACCTCGACATGGGTAGACGTGCATGTGACGCATCTCACGAACGTCTCCATAGCTTTGAGGACCCAAATGCACCTTACATTCCCAAAAAGACATTCCTGTAAGAGGTCCGGACCGTAAACCCATAATACTGACGGACTCAGTCGTGGCTCGCTTCAGGCTATTAAAATACAGCCAAGGCTAGGGGTTACGACACCGAAAGTCCAGACCGAATATCACTCACCTTCGAAAGACAAAAATACACGCATCTTAGGCGATTGCTCCAACAACAATGACTACTGGAATTAGGAAGCTGGATTCACCTTACTTTTCGGTAGCGTTATTCACCAATTATACAAACTAGTCATCGTATTGTCACTTTAATTCAAGTTCGGATTCTCCTTTCAGTCCTACAGTTCCCGGTTAACTGATCATTAGGTATTGCCAAGTGGACTTGTAAACACACAGTAACGTGACTCCAAGCGGTAGCTTTTTTTTGCACACTAAGTGACCGTATTAATTAATATTAGATCATTAATACACTTCATCCCCTTGACTAATGTGAACAAGGCAAAATCGAAAAGAATTTCAGAATAAAATGACATTGTCCCACTTCACGGATATTGATCAGTTGCAAACAACCTGAAACTATATATCCAATTCAAGATAAATGATGATTTATACATGGTTAGATCGATAATTCTAGATCTGTAAAAATATTGTCATACAAGCAAACATTCAATGGAAAGGAGTTATTATTTTAATTACAATATGAACTCTCTTCTAGCTAATAAATCTGAATTCCTTTTTTTTCCTGATGATTAGTGAGTTTGCGTATTTCCTCAATTGTTAAACAATTCATTTTCCTTGAATATTTGTTCGCTTGATAAAATTTTTACAGATCTACAATTATCGACCCAATCACATAAATTATCATTTCTCTTGACCAGGATATTGGAAATTAGGTTGTACGCGGATGATCAGTATCCATGAAATAAATTGACGTCATTTTATAAGGATTTGGTGAATGAATTCCTTAGAAAGAAAATTTCCTTCGCTGATTTGTTTTATCATCTCTTTACGAATTAATTTGTATTTTTCGTCATTATCCGCTTAAATTATTTTCCAGTCAGACGTATATCAGTCTAAACAAACATATTGTCTTTGCATATTGTATTTCGGCTTCGCCTCGAGAAAAAGGGTGTACCTGAACTATAAGATAAGAATGTAATAAAAAGTGAATCATAGGTAATGATATGGTCAGTATCAGTATCAACAACCGCGTACAAGTTACTTAGTATACCAGGTCATTTTAATGACACTACCTACCTATACAAACTTTAAATGGTGAAGAAATAAATTTTAAATGTACGACTTATTACTAGTCGAGTACGATAGAAAGTAAACAAATACACGCGTAAAAAGAATATCAAATAAAACATTTTCTTATAATACTAACATTAACAAAATAATCGTAATGTTACTGACAAAGAGAATAAAGTAGACGTTGAATACTTCTGAGTTATCAGAAATTATAAGTTAAAACCAATAAATATACAGATGAATTGATTTTTACGGCGCTTTCTATTAAATTCATCCACGCAAATGAATATTTAAAAATGCCTGAAAACAAAATAAAGGTTTACAAGAAATCAGAAATACAGAAACTTTCTATTTATAATAGTAATTCAATGATGAAATAAAGTGAAACAAATAGTCGAACACCAACAACACATTGTTTTACTCTTTTCACACGAACAAAGTACAATAAATACTTTTTTATTTATTTAAAAAACTGAAGTATTTTCATCACAACTAATACTTAAGGAATTATGTTTTGCTGTACAGAAAGAAATATAGGAGTAACAGGTTTAGCACTTTTGCCTTTTTCACCAATTACACTTTAACTGTACAAATTGATAATTATGATATATGTTCACTTTCAGATGTTTTTTCATTTTCTTGTTTACAATCATTTAATTCTTTATGATATTGTTTCATTAATTCAAGTACATTTGTAGTAGAATATTGACCAGCTGATTGAAATCGACTGAAAGATGATGGCCTAGAAGTGTTCAATGATAATGATCCTTTAGAGAAGTCAACTAATGAATGAACTGTTGATATACCTAATTGTCCATATACTTCTTGTTTTAATGTATCATTTGATGTTCTTGTACTATTATCCATAGTATCTATAATTTCATCTGGGTTACACATTGGATAGTATGAAAGCCATGGATCTAGTAGAAGTTCATTAGCAGAGGACCGATAAGCTGGATCGATAGTTAATAAACGTACTAGACATTCTTGACCGAGTGATGTTACATAACCTAATGATTCTATAGTATTTTGAATATTTAGATTATTTAATTCATCAATTAACTGTTCTTCACTATGTGAAGTAAATGGTGACTGATTTGTCAATAGAATAAACATTAGAATACCCAAACTCCATAGATCACATTGGCGTGTATACGATCGGCCATTTAAAACTTCTGGTGCCATATAAAGTGGGGTGCCACATGGATTAGCTAAGGCTTCTTCATTTTTGCGTACTTCAATAGCCAAACCAAAATCGATCAACTTTGTATGTAATCCTCTTGGAGGATATTTAACTTCATGATCTACATCTTTGTTATTGGTTTTATGTAAACATTTATCGATTGATAATGACTTACAATTAGCAATTGTTTTATCCTTTTTGTTCAAAAGGCATTATCAGGAATGGAGTAAATTGAGATTTGTTTTGAAGATTTTATCATTTTATTATTAATGGATACAGAACTACGAGTTGTTGTTATTGCTGTTGCCGTCGTCGTAGCAGCGGTACGTGTGTTACCGTGATTTGAAGATGTGTCATTCCCAACATCTGTATGCTCAAGTTTTGCTTTATCATTTTTAATCAAGGAATCTGAAGTTATTTTATTATTAACAGGGTGCTTATGAAAAGTTTTAAAATTCACCGGAGGTACATTTCTAAAATCAAGTTCAACCTTATTTAATAACATAATATTCCCAAGTTTCAAATCCCTATGTATAATACCTCGATTATGAAGATAGGACAAAGCAGAAGCTACTTGTCTAACAATAGCAGCCACAATATATTCTTGTAAGACAGATTTTTCTGGTAATTGTTTAATACAATGATCCAATGAATTTCCTTCGCATAATTCAGTTATTAGGAAAACAATTTTTGGAGATTCGGCTACGGCTAGAAGTTTTATAATTCCAGGATGTCGAACATGGCGTAATATGGAGATTTCACGGTCCAGTCGAGCACGTTCACTTGCAGAGAAGGAATTTTCGCGTGAAATCTAAAATAATAATAAAATAACCTTCACTGAATTTAGCATAAAATTTAAACAACAGGATAATCAGATTTGTATTTTTTTGAAAATATGCGTCTTATAAGGAACATATATAAGAAGCTGCTATTAGAAGGTAGTTAAGCAGTGGAATCTATTTTATGCCTAGCAGTCTCTCAGAAAGATCTTTTATCTTCAATATACAGATGAATCATCATTTTAACTGCTTTTATTCTAAATGTTTATTTTAAAGTTATCCAAATGTTTCATAAAATTAAGGATGAAACGCCAAAAGACAGGTGACCGAAAAACATTTTCCCTTCTGAATTTGGGGTTTGTGGGGATTTAGAGGTTTTTCAAGTTGTTATTCATCATGAACTGGCATCACTTGGAGGAATATTGGAAACCTGGGGGCACTGGACAGCAATTCCGTCCTAGTACGGGACTCCCCAGCAGTGCGCACCCACGACTCCACCAGGGGTCAAATCCGCGGTCGCGCTATGTCGTGTACTGACAGAAGTTGGAAATGTGGACCATTGGATTCCGACTCCGCAGCTCAACGGTAACGTGCTGGTCAAAGAACCTGAAGGTCGCAGGCTCGCACTGCTGAAGAATCCTATACTAAGGCGAAACAGCTGTCCAGTGCTCCCAGGTTTCCAATGTTCTTCCAACTGATGTCAGTCCATGATGAATACCAACTTGAAAATTTTCCCTTCTGATATCAATACATTTATAAAAACATCTAAATGAATTCTCATATTTTGCGTAGTCACTCAGTGACAGAATATGATGCGTAAATGAAAATATGCTTAATTGAAGGTTTTGAAAACAATGCACTCTTTATCTTTCCCTGAGAACTGAACACGCTAATTGTTATATCTGTTTATTATTATTATTATCCATATACGACTCAACCTCGCCTGGTTAACTAGTTCTCTAGTTACTAGCCGGGTAAAGAAGGAAGGTTGGGCATACAGCTTGTAACCCTACCCCGGAAAACAAATCCAATCGCTAAAGAAACTTCAAAGCACAAACAAAATATAAAAAATAATAACAAAATTATTCCTCACTGGAATCGAAGAGACCAAATGACACCGGTTGGTGAAAGTCTTCGGGAAGCCTATCGGCCGATGTGTCTTCTCTCGATGAAAGCAAAAGTAAACGTGGGGACGTGGAATGTCCACACCATGTTTGAACGCAGCAAGGCAGCCCAGATTTAAAACGTGATGAAGAGGTATCACATTGGAGTGCTTGGAATTTGCGAAAGCAGATGGAATGGGAGTGGACTCTCCAAAATGTCAACTAGAGAATCAATAATCTACTCCGGTAACCCAAACGAGCACACAGAGGGAGTGGCTATCATGATGTCCCCAACAGCATCGAAGGCTCTCATGCAGTGGGAACCAATCTCCTCCAAGATCAGGGTCATGACAGCAAGGTTCAACTCAAAAGGAAGGAGGGAAGGTCACAATCATACAATACTATGCACCTACAAATAATGCAGAGCAAGAGAAGAAGGAGGAATTCTACAGACAACTTCAATCAACACTGGACAAGACCACACCCCAGTTGGCGAACTCAAAATTCTAATGGGCGACATGAATGTTAAACTGGGAGCGGACAACACAGGAAGAGAAATAACCATGGGTTAGGAAGCGCTATGTGAAATGAACGAGGATGGAGAATTGTTTGCAGAATTCTGTGCATTCACGATTTGGTGATTGGAGGCGAGGCAGTGTGTTCAAGCACAAGGATATGCACAAAGCGACATGGATTTGATAACACCTAAGGACACACTAAAATCAGACCGACTTTATCTCAATCTCAAGAAAGTGGAGACGCAGTCTACTTGACACAAGGTGAAGAAGAGGAGCAGATGTAAGTTCAAACCACTGTCTAGTGCAAGGAATCTTCCAAATCAAGTTGAAAGCCTTCAAAGAAGTTGGTGATAGGCCACAGTTCAAGTTCAACACCCAGAACAGAAACTGAAGGACAAAACTACATAGGACATCTTCACGTCGGTTATCAGAGCAAAATGGGAGACATTGAGCAACATTCCTGAAGGATCGGGCGTGGAGGAACACTGGAACTCTTTGAAAGCTATGTGGAAAGAAGCTTGCATAACCGTATTAGGAATCTCTAATGAAAGCATTATTTACAGGAAAATGTCATACTTTATGGAAAGATTTATTTAATATCAGTATCAAAACCATTACCTCTGAACTAAAAATTCACTAAATGCGTAGCCATAGCAAGCAATTGTGTACACATTAAAAAGCGTAAAATATTAACTTCACTAAGAGTACACGTTATTATAATTATTACATGACAACTACACGTAAACACAAAAATATACACACTCTAGGCTACAAATGAATAAATTATACTTGCAAATTATACTGCTCAGAAATTAACCTAGTCACTGCCAGTCAAGATTGGTTTAACGAAGCAAGAAAAGCTCTTCATATTAGAATATTCTATGTGTTTATTCTATTGGTAATGAACTAATTTGAAAAGTATGCATAATCTTTAACAATCTTCTTTTACAACACTGTTAACTGAAAACTCTGGTGACCACTGCTACAACGCCAAAAGATTATTTCAAAAGTTATCCTAAGAGAGATCTTCACTCTTTCTCCAGATGACATAGAACATTACATCAAACTAAGTGCCGACATCTGAACTAATCATAAGACAGGTTAATTTGTTCCACTTCAGTTTCATCATCTCACTAATCTAGTTTACTTCTTATGAAAAACAAATATGATGCAGGCACATATAGCCTAGTATATATACATCTGTGCATTTAGTAACACTGGTGTAAGCATCCTAATTTTAATGATAGTTAGTCTGTAGCTAAACAAAATATAGAAAGGGTTAAAAAATTGATGTACAAACAACTTTCAAAATTTTATAAAGAAACGGTCAAGAACACATACTTAAATTTATGGAAGCGACAGCCATACACAAATTGGAACCACTTTTAGGTTTATAAAAACAATTTGTTTTTACACTACACCTACTCTGGTTAACCTTGTTTTTTTTACCAAGATTAGAATCAACTGTGTCACTCTTCTTGCTTGTTTTCATCTTTCTTAATTTTACTCCCCTATTATCGTAATTGTTTTTACATAGATTGATTTGACGAGTAAATTTGTGACCAGATCCTTCAAAATGAATTGCGCAAATGCATCATAATATTCAGATAAACTTCATCTTCCAGTTATACTATCTAAACAGTTGGTTCTATTATCCTTACCCTGATATGCAACATTCTTTTTGAGGTAGTATTCATCATGGACTGACATTAGTTGGAAAACCATTGAAAATATGAGGGCACTGGACAGTTTTCTCGTCCTAGTATGGGACTCCTCAGCAGTACCTACCCACAACCTTGCTACGGATCGAATTCAGGACCTTTAGGTTCCACGGCGAACGCGTTAGCCATTCAGCCACTGGGTCAGGGTTCAGTGGTTTACGATTTCCAACTTCTGTCAATTCGTGAACTGAAAACCTTGGGTGATAGTTGGGCTGTATCGCAGATCGACAGAAGTTAGAAACTGTGAACCACTTAACCCTGACCCAGTGACTGAATGGTCAACACGTTCGTAGTGAAATCTGGAGGTCCCGAGTTCAATCCTTAGCAAGGTTGTGCTTGGGTACTGCTGAGGAGTCCCATACTAGAACGAAATAGCTATCCAGTGCTCTCATGTTTTCAATGATTTTCCAACAGACATCAGTCCATGATGAATACTACCTCAAAATTAAAACCCTCATTCACCTCAAAAAGAATTCTTTTTAATTTGTTACCGAGGGATCATTATCTATTTTTAGCTAACATTTCGAAAACAGATATCACAGTTGGTGTTAGATACATGTTATATTTATGTGAATCTTAGTGTTTGAAATAATAGTAATAATTGGTGCCGAAGTTTGGTCCGACCTTTTCAAGGGAAGTATTCAAAATGAAAACATCATAGATATGGAAATTAAGTTTAAAACATGTAATTAATCTCCTGTCTATTCCTGTTTGTAAAGCCAATCTTTTTAGAATATGATTATGAAGCATTCAGTATGCAATTGGATGTATCTTGTCAAAGTGATTTGTTTGTTATTATCCATATCCTTATCCAGTGGAAATACAAAACAAAAAGATACAAGTAACATCGTAGTCACTACGCAATCGCAAGTGCATATACAATGGGATATATGAGAAGGATATGCACAGGATTTATGTGAGTGACGGAGAATAAATTAGTATCCGCAAGTTATTATTTCGGTGTTATAATAAAGTAGAAATGGATAATAATAATAATAATAATAGCAGTACATCAAGTCAGCAGACAGTGATATTTGAATTCTGATTATTTTCCTGAAGAAACTCGGATCAGACTTTCACGCAAGTCGCTGGAAATATTTTATTTCAAAAACGCTGAGATTAACACAAATTTAACCTATCTGTTATGTCGATTTTTCACTAGGCACAACATACTTGTGAAATTATTCGGTCAAGTCTTGATCATGGTCCGTATTAGATAGAAATCATAGCACTTGGATGAGAATTCCTTAAATAAAGCAAACAATAAAAGGCATCAAATAACTTTCAGGCGGTGATTAATAAAAACAGAATTCTGAAGCATAATAAAAGTTGAACATTTCAACCATGAAGAGTACAAGCCGCATAAAAGATTGTTTAATGTCTACTTATAACTCCATGAATAATAATTTAAATAAATTGTTGGCATAACTTAAGTGAAGATCAATAGATGTTAGAATGTAGGGACCTCGGGTAGTTCGGAAGCCAGTAGTTCGAATCCTGCAGTGAACTAGGTTTTCATCTCACCTCTAATCATAACTCGTTACCAACAAAAACCAGTTTGTCACAATAATAACTGTCTCAGCCGGTCCTATTAACAAAATAATATTAGTCAACTGGTTTGTATGCACTTTATGAGTATCAAAAATACATTCAGAACAAGAGTATAGTGCTGACTAGTTTGGGTGTTTTT